GAAGGACTATAGTTAGCAGTTCGCTGTTATATTGAATCAAATGCTAATATAATTGGTTCTTTTAATTTAGCCACAGCAATATCAGATAGAAATCTAGTGTAGAAACCTTTGCCTAATGGCTTATCCCGTGGTTTTAACAATTCAAAAGTTGTGAATATGGTCTGATAAAAAAAGGGCTCTGTGGAAAGACAATTGTACATTCTATTTTAATGGCTTATGCCAGAACAAGGTTTAATGTTTGGTTAAAACACACAGATACGGGAACGTACATCCTTGTACACTTACCTCCTCATCTCCTCATCTCCCACTGAGTGTAGCATTGGCTCTCTTCCTGCCGAGACCTTTGACCCTGTTTCAGCTGTGCTGTCCGTCTCATTGATGCCCCGAGCAACACAAACGCAGCCTAGGACATATTCATTCTAATGTAGTCAACATAGTTATCACAGGATGAAATGTCATATCCACGCAGTGAGAGCCTGTTTATTACTTGGATGTAAATACACCGCCTTCCACTAAACCATAACAAGCCTTCCAGGAAATCGTGTGCATCGAGGAAATTACAATAACTACCGTAGAAGCTAGACATTTTTACTTTTAATGATAAACATTGCTCATTAAACTTTGAACACCTGCTTGCTTTTCTCATAAAGGAAGTCGGCTAAGGATTGCAGCAGTGTTCCTTATGAGATGGGGCAGACGGATTTTAATAATGGATCGGAAATCCCGCAGAAGCAGTTTGGATGTGAGACAGAAAAAACTTCTATTCCAGGGCGTAGGAGACAAAACGCTTTGTTCTGTGACACAAGCTGACCTGTGTAAGCATGAGAAATTGACCTTTTGATATGCTAATAAACTAAAAAGCTTACGATTGGTGTGTGTTGTGTTTATGTTAAGCACATACACACATTCTGCACTATGTATTCTTTCAACACCATCCACGCGATCCCTAGCTTGCCCACAAATCAATCCATGCCGTGAGTTCAGGGTTCCCTATATGGCATGTTTTTTCACCAAGTGCTCTATGTGGGAAGAATGTGCTCTCTGCATTCCAAAGACGACTGAGCGGAGCTGAACAGTCATGTGTGTGTAGACCATTCAGCTGAAGTCTAGGTGATTGGGGTGAACAGAGGCTACAGTAACATATACAGGCAAAGTGGTTGACACAGCTGAACTGCACAGCTGCTGACTTCGAGCTGTGTTTTTGGCTTGTGGTAACCACGGATGCCCCTTGACTTGTTTGTTTTGGCATTGAATGCCCCATCAATCTAAACCATGCAATTTTTGCTAAAAGGCTTCGACCAGAGACGCATGGCACCAGTGTCAATAACATCGCTCTTTAGCTTTCACACTGCACGTGTTTATGCTACAGTAGGTTTCTGGATGCCCCCGCTATTAATAACCCAGACTATTTGGAATGTTTTCCCAATAAGGAAAGGAGGGGAAAATGCGGGGAGGAGAGAAAGCCTCACAGATTTGCACTGAGGCTAAAAGGCATCTAGACAATATGTATCCACACAAAAGGTAAAGACACATATTGACCAAAAGCCGAGCAGGAAGAAAGATGCGCAGCACTACCAACCAAACTAACAGTTTGACCAGCAGACAGGCAGCCAAACGAGAATGTTGTGTTTCTTCAGCTCACAACACACTCGTTTGTTTCAGGGCTGACCTACATATAAGTATAAGTTTAACGTTACCATTTTCTACTGCATTTTTATTTGACTTGGAATAGCTTGTGGAAGAGAAACACCTAATAACCTGTTATTTGATTTGTTTGGAAGCTGTGACGTGAATAAATACTTTATTATATTATATCTACTCTATTTAAAACCATAAAAAAAAATAATTTCATTATTTGCAAAGAAAAATATTCTTGCCAATGTGTGTCTGAAAGTGCTTTGCAATCCCTCATCCCTTTTTCCTTTCATTTGCATTGTATCTCATATTTACCTTCTTGGTACTGGTTGCAAGCAGAGGTGCAGTCCTCCGTCCTCTTAACCCCCATCTTTGGTCTGGTGAGCTGGTCATCCACGGATCCACTAACCCTAACCCATGTGAAAGGGGAAAACTGTTGCAAGGAAATGTTTCTAGTGTTTCAATTAGGCTTTACTTTAAATAGCCGAGGTATGTGGTGATCCCCTGCGATTGGCTGGCGACCAATCCAGGGTGTACCCTGTCTATCGCCCGAAGTTGGCTGGGATGGACTCCAGCCCCCCCGCGACCCTGTGTGCAGGATAAGCGGTTTGACAATGGATGGATGGATGGATGGATGGATGTGGTGATCCTAGGCCTCACCTTTGGCTTCTTTGCAGGGCTTATCACCTGGGGATGTCAAAGCTGGACCTTTTAGAATGCATGTATGACAGCACGTAACCCCAAGGGTGGGTGAGCAAGCAGGCTCGCCCTCCGGGACGCGTTCGAGAGCAGCTGCACAACTTGTGCTGCCTTTGTGGACCTGAGTGACAATACGCAGTGGATAAGTACACTCGTCAAACTAGAGTTGAGTTTCAATATGGCTCCTCATTTATATGGTGTAACATTCACCAACGTACGTAACACTCAGAGGTCAAAGTGTGTAGTTTGCCTAACTGCAGGAGTAGCGTTTTACAACAACAGTGTCTTCTTTCACCAACGTATCGTATAGTTTCATTTATGCACTCACACTATTGCAGTTGAATGAAACTGATTTTTGAGTGTGTTAAGTCCTCTTGCCGCCTAGTTTATAAAGCCTGTCTTTGTTGAGAGATCGGATATAACTCATCAGAGAAGACGTCACAGAACACGTTATGATCCTGTTTATTGTGGCTTTTTTTAAATATACGTACTCGTCATGAGGTTAAGAAGTTAGAAGCTGGCCTCAGGTGTGCTTGTGTGAAACGGAGGCATGTGACACATTGGAGAATAAAAATCTCCCAAAAGCTCTGAGCAGAGCACTGTCAGCAGAGCGTTGTGTATTGGCTGTGATGTCTCACCCATGGTGCTGGGAAGAAATTACGCTAACATTCTCCCTCATGCAAGTTTGAGCAAAAATCCAATTAATTAATCCAGATACAGTCACCTCACCGCTGGGTACAGCCGGCAAACCCCAAAGTCTCTCCTTCTACCGCGGAGACATTGTCCGTGTAATTGCACTGTCATGGTCAGAGGTGGTTAGGTCTCAGTACACTTTTGGAGTGGAAGGAATGAAATCAAAGGGCTGTGTGAGGGTCTAATCCCTGCACTGGAATGGCTTTGGCAGCTATTAAGCATAGTTGCGTGTGTGTTTGGTCAATATGTCAGTCACTGCGAGTCACTCTGGCCCTCATGAGCACTTTGAAACTTGGGTTTCACGGTATGTTAATGCTACGTGGAACGCCTGAGCTTCTACCCATGTTTCCCACTGATGAAGCAGAACTTACACCAGTGATGTCGAAAGCTCATCTATTTAATTTATTCTTATTTAAGGTTTTTTAGTTAGTCTGTCTTTCTTACACAACTCCTGACTCGTGAAATCAAATAAAACTTTTCAGTTGAGCCACAGCTACTGTAGTCAGTCCGAGCCTAATGAGGGACTGCTCGGACAGTTTAGGCTGATGTTAATTTGTTTTGTATTTGTTGTAAACTGTATGACTGTAAATAATGTGTCAATGGCGAGCTGTCCATGCATGTCAGGCTTCCAGGCTACACACACTCACACACTCATTACGAGCAAGGCCTTTCAGCAGCCCTAGTGCTCGGGGTGCCAGCCTCTTTGTTTCAAAATGCATTCATAGTTTGGTCTTTATTTGCGAGCCATATTTGGGAGGTTTAAAAAAAAATAAAAGTCATTAAAAAAATAAAAAGAGCGAAAGAGAGAGGACTGCTGTCAGTTTTATTCATATACATCGTGTTATAGATGTTTTTTAAACAAGAATCAAGCGTCATGTGTTGCAAAGGATTGTTTTTTTTATTCGATCTATGCACAAATTCTCCACCTTACAGTTTAAAGGTTTAAAACCCTTGACCCTGTATGATGGACTACTTCAGAACTCTGCCCTTTACGTCCAGGCTGTCTTATTATAAATTGACTGAACCAGTTGGTCAATGTTACTGCCGTCCAGTTGCCCTTTTTGTCACCTTTGTTGGAGGCCTTTGCTATATAACTGCATGTCCAGCATGCAGTGTGTTAGTAGACTCGACTTGGGGGCACAGTGGTTATATTATTGACCACTGACTTGCCAATCAGAGGCGGCAACATACACAAATAGACCCTGAAAACTACAGTACATGTACACATGCAGAGGCCCATGTACATGCAGAGATGTACACACATATACACACACACCCCGTGGCCACAAGGACTTACCACTCCCAAACTGCTAATTCAAACATGGGATAATGTTGACTTTCTTTAAAAATAGCAAGCCCTATTTTTAAAAGTCCAATATGGGGTCATGAACTGCTGCATATAAGAGCATCATAGTTGTGAGTCTGAGCTGCTCGGCTGCAAATATACTGTGGCCACTAACTTAAGCACTGGGGAGGTGCCTGCGGGCTATATTTGGGTCAGTGTTTACAGGTGTTTATTCAGTAGCAGCAGTGCCAAGAGGCCAATAGCAGGCCCACTTGAAGAAGTTCAAATAGACTGACGTCCATGTTGTTGAGGGTGTGATTATTTTGACCCAATGATGGCCAGCTGGGAGGCACAATGGGGGGGGAGGACATTGCTGAACGTTGGAATATGTTGATATTGACAGTTTGGGTGCTGTTAGAAGATGATATGACTAAGAAGCCATTTTTAGAGTCCTCGTGCTCCATAATAGACTTGCACAAAGTGTAGAACTTCTTTATAGCACACTTCTATTTACTCTACAACTGTGCTGCAATAGTGGTGCAAAGTGAAATATTTTTGGTGAAGAGTAGGTCCCAGTGTCATCCTCCTCTTTTTGCTTTTTCCTTCCTCATTGGACCTTCACACCCTTTCCTTTCTTCCTTTGCAGTTTTCCACTGACCTCGATTTGTCTGCTCTTTTTCCTCTGCAGGTTCTGCTTTGTCCATCTTGTAGCGAAACTGATCCAACGAGGCAAGTCGTTCAAAAGAGCCGAGAAAAACAAAACATGGCTGTGGCTGGATGTCCGGATTATTTCCTGCACCACCCAAATTATCAGGTAAATAGCAGTTTCCTTTGGAAGTTTGTCTTTGTTCCGGTACACATTTGTCTTAAAGCAGACTGCTGTGCCACATCGTACCACAGAATTTATATATGATATTTTAGCGAGTATTTCTACAGACTAGAGAGAGAGTGAGATTAAAAAATATGAAAAACATTATTGGCTCTTTTTTCTTTGATCTTTTGCATGCGCCTACGTTCTATTACCTGTGCATTTTATTTTAACGAGCTGAGATTGAGGTGCAGTCATTTTTTGTCTTTTAATCTAAAAAGTATTGTTAGGTTGAGTGTTTAATAACCTTATTAGTGTACAAGTGAGGTTTAGAAAGGGACAAACTTGATTTGTTACTCATCAGAAATGCAGGCCTGTAATCACCAGCTTGTATGCTGATGTGATGATTTGTTGCTGAGTGGGAAAAGGCAGACTTGACCTCTGGCATCAGCTTCAAGTTTGGTTCACACCAGCCTCCGTAGAGCAAAGGGCCTCTAAACAGACACACACACACACACACACACACACACACACACACGCTAGACACCCACTCTGTTGGTGACCCTTGACTGCTGCTTGACTTGCCGGATGAGAAAATCCATTCACTATGAAAATCCGGGGGGGTTATGGAAAATTCTCCCTGATAAAACTGCAGCAGCAATTCAAAACAGATTTCAGGTTAAGATAGCATTCATACTGAACTCAAGGGATTGTATCGCCACTTAAATCATGTTTCTGTTGCATGATTGTGACCTGAAAAGCAGGAATGGTTAGTGGCAGGATGATAGCTGACGAAGCCTTAATCCAGAAACTAATGCACCAATAAAACATTTGATATATATATGAATGTAACGCGGAACAAATCTGAACCGTCGTGCATACTAACTCGATTACAGACTGACACGCTGTGTAACCACGGCTCACGGAATCTCTGTCATTAACATAATATTAACATAAGCATTATATTGCCATGTGTAAAAGTTCAGTCCATCCAGTCTGTTAAGTTTCCCCAAATCTAACATGGCTCACCAGATAAACTATCAGGGTCTAGCATAATGTTTACTGTGGAGACATGCTGGGGTAGCTGTATGATTGTATCTGGGAATAAACATTAACAAGATCTGTGTGGCGTTACAGATAACAGGTAATCTTGGATATCAGATGATAGCATTCATTTTGTGTTTGCAATGTGAGCATGTCATGGCTTTTAAAAGAGCCATGTGTGGACATTATTATATTATTATTATTATTAAGGCGATGGTGACTGTGTTGATTTTGCAGCTCCGACTCATCCGGTCATTGCTTTTTGCTTTTTGTACATCCATTATTTACTCTCCTAGGTCATGGACGGTCGGATATCCTACCAGCATGCATTATGTAGCTGTCATATGTTTATAAGCCAAAATATGAGAAGAACATGCTGCAGGGTCGGACAGAATAGGATTTATATTGCACAGTTGTCTAAATATGTATTGTTATAATACATTTCTTTGCTCTTTATGCCATATATTGTGGGTTTGTGATGCTTAACAGCAGGTAGGGCTACCATGCAGGTGTAAGAATTGACCTAATTCCACGGAACTCATTTAGACCTAGATTGTCAGACATAATGATAACTCAGTTATAACTCAGTAACTCAGCAACTCAGCTTATGTTATGATTATAAATGTGCTTATCTATGGGTCAGCTGTGCTGCGACAGCAGCTACAGCGCAGTTCCATCACTATAAACAAATAGATAAACGAAGCATTAGAGCGGATTTAAGAACAATTTACAAATCTCAATCTGGTTAATTATGTAAGAGAGGATTTGCACTTATTGTCTAGTCTTCATGTATGTTGTAATAGGACCGGCTGCAGCTGGGGATTTTGCCGTCAGCAAGAATGCTCTGCAAAAAACAAGTATCTGACCCCTGAGTAACATTTCCACGTCTCTAGAGCTTTGTGAGAGTATGAAGTTCTACAGTACCAGTCAAACGTTTCGGCACATTTCAATGACACGGTGTGGCCAAACGTTTGACTGGTACTGTAAATCAAAACCTAATGGAAATCTCTTATTGATCCAGTCTATTCTCAGCTGCAGTCGTGTAGCATAATTATGAACGGCCCCCATGTTCTTTCTCAGGCAAAAGCCTCTAGAAAGCTCAATACGACCTCTTCCAAAGGCACAGCTTTCACACGCGTCTCAGTATTTTCCTTTTTGTTTGAGTTGACTTATGTCCAGACCTTTGTGTCTGTCCTTCATTCAGTGCCGTAACTTTGTCTCAGGCCTTCAGCTGACACCTTTTAAAAAGCCAAACCCTGAGCCCACTGACTCGATTTCCTTTCAACTACAGCAATATAGAAGGGCCCTTATATGCTACTTGACCTACTGCAAGTGCTGTTTTGACCCAGAACTTAAGCAAACGTGTGTGTGTGTGTGTGTGTGTGTGTGTGTGTGTGTGTGAGAGAGCATGTGCCCTTGTGTGAGAGACAAACCCTGCCAAACAGAATGAGAAAATGGAATATGAAAGACTGTGACAGATTCTGTTTTAATCAGCACACCAAAAAACACATTTATTTTCCTTATATCCCCTCCTCTCTGCAGTCTCTGCCTCATGGGCTTTAAAAAACAATTTACAGTATTAAACCCGTAACTTAACATTCTGTCAATTGTCTATTATGGCATCAAAGGCTGTCTGGATTTGGATTATTGTTGGTATGATTGACAATAGAGTTCAAGGTGTACTTTAAGAACCCTTTAGTGTGTGTGTGTGTGTGTGTGTGTGTGTGTGTGTGTACCCCCAGATGGCAAGCACCATTTAAGACCAGTACATGGGGGTGAAAGAGTCCCTACGTTGTTGCTCGGTGGAACTGAACCATGACCCATCCTGTCCTGAATACACACACACACACACACACACACACAAACCCGTGCACTGCGCTGTACTGTTTCACCAACCAAACAGCGTCCCCGTGCTATTTGGGTGACTGGGTAGGGATCAGTCACAGTCTGGTAGCTGGACCCCCACCCGGTTGTGCTAAAGTCATGGGAACAAATGGGGGATGCGCCGGTCACTTTATTATTAGTTTTTTAATTATAAAAGCAGGTTGGACCCATTGCGCTCAAAAATCTCCTTTCCGTTCAGGCCAAGACGGCTGGAAGACAAGACAATGCAAAGACGGAACAATCCGATGTAATGAGCGGATGCGTTGGGGTTCGTTGCTGTAGAAGGGCGGTTTGGGGGGGGGGGGGTGGACAGAGAGAAACATATGCTGCTGTTGAACTTCCGATCCAGTTCAATCCGAACGTAGGCGGCAGTGTAGACACCAGAGACGGACACTAATAACTTCTTCTTCATTGCATATAAGAGCCAAAACTTCTGCTAGCAAGTTGTGGCTTGTATATATTCCCAAACTATCCAGCTGTGACCTTATTTTGAAGAATTGGTGGAATCAGGGTGGAATTTTACCTCAAGCTTTATTCTCACAGTGGTCATTTCTCCTTGAACGGCTCATTAAGACCTGTAAGTAAAATTATTTTGAATGTCACAGGTGATGTACAACAGGTGATGTACAACTTTAAAAAGATTTAAAAAAATGTCTTCTTCTGGAACAAATCAAATCTATTACCTTCAATTTGAAAGTAACTGTTATTTAAAAGGATTTAGAGTACTTTTATTTTTTATATCACAAGTGTTGATTAAGTTAGTTCTGGGCAATAAATCAAAGTAATTTCAATATTATGATGTAGGACTAGGTATTGCCCGAGATGTAATTTGTAACGGCTGCATTACATTAAATTGATGTTCCCATGATCCACATTGCTGGTTATTTATCCACACTAAAGCTAAGCTAAATTTTTCATAATATCACCAATAGTCAGCAATGCAATATTGTTGTCACGCAGCCCCAGTAAAGTGCATACAACATCTATGTGTGTGTTGGTCTAAAGAATGAAATGGACAAAGCAGAACAATTATCAACTATTCTTTCTGAATTAGAGGCTGTGGATTCAACAGCGATCACACAAACTGATAAAGCATAACAATCATAACAGCTGTGTAAAATAATCCAGTTACTACTGGGAAAATGGCCTGACCACAAACCACTTTTATCACAGTGTTATCAAGAAGTTAGAAGACTAGATCCCAAACATTTTCTGCCAGCCTTTCATGATTTAGGAACATTGAAACATTCAAAATAGTTTGCCATTGAATTTGTTATAGTTGTATTTTATATTGTTTTACCGGTGTATGTGTGTCTGTGTGTTTGTGTGTCTGTGTGGTTGGTAATGAAGTTGCACCCCGTCCTGTAGTTCCGCTGTGGCCCCATTGGGGGCGCACCCCCCTGTTTTGTTACCACTTCCCTAATGTGTGCTGCTCCCGTTCCTCAATAAAATATGTTAAAAATCGAATCTGTTTTGTTGAGATGTTTTTTCTTTTTCAACAGCTTTGCAGTCACAGGAAATATGATGGTGGAAAAAAGGGTCAAATGTGGATATTGTCTCTAAATTGTCTCTTTTACAGCTTTACACACACCTGGCCGTGTTCGTGAGTGTTACACTCGACAACAACAAGCCTAATTGTTCACATAGTCCTGTAGATGAATGAGATTTAACAAACATGGGAAAAATAAGCACCTAAAATGTTCTCTATCATTTTTGTGTTCTCTCCCCTACAGCAAGACAATATCGACCGGTCCTCCAACCACATACAAGCTGACATCATTGGTCCGAACTTCCAGCAATCAGCCAATCGGAGTTCTCCAAACCATCAAGGTTGGTCCACCCCGTCCAACAGAAATGTGCTTGTGTGCACCTGTGTGTGTCTGTGCTGGTGCTATTGGGGGCTATTGAATTAAATCCAATATTGACGAAAAATTACATATGATATTACATAGGGGTGGGACTTGCCATAGGATATGCTACTAAGACCTACTGTGCATGCACTCGGTGTAATATATATTCTCCATGTATTAACATACGTAAGAGAATACAAAAAGGTTATAGACATGACCTGGGAATCTGGTACTCCCACTCTTTGTGTGCGTGTGTCTGTGTGTCGCTTGTCTTAATACGGTGTGGGGTGCGGCCTGCTGCTCATTATCCTCCAATGGTCCGAGGGCGGGTCGAGGGGGATAATATATATTTGGGTCTCTGTAAACATTCAGCAGTTCAAAGGGTGATCTGCAGGGACGCAGGGTGCCATTATAATTCCGTGGTCTTATCTAATTGTGGCATACAGGGTTCATCCAAGACAATCGGAGCATGAGATTTAAGCACAATATTGGCTCAGCATGGGAGATGAGGGCGGGGAGTCTGCGAGGACGAGCGAATTGGAGCGCTGGGCAGCGCATGGGAAATAAATGGAGCAGAAATGACATTGTCATCTTTCAGGATCAGCCGCAATGGAGGGAACGCAGGAGAGGCCGGAGAATGGAGATAACTTTAACTGAGCACACTCTTGCTTTCACCGTCTGAATATTGATATTTTACATAGATACCCAGTTATAATGTTTTTACCCTTTGCCAGAAATGTGTTGGGAGCCTGAGACATGAACATTTGTTATGCAGAACATTTAGATTCTTTGTGTGTTTGTGGGATTATAAATCCTTGCTGAAATTAGCCGATATTTGAAATAGAAGTTGCTACCACATCATGTTCCAAATATATTATTTATAAATTGTCCCGTGCACATGTGGTCTTCTATTTGAACTGTAGCGTTTGTGAGCGTTTCAGACGCCAGCATAGCCAGTCATGAGTTTACAGTAGCACCAAAAACTGAGAGACAATAAATAAAAAAAAGGTTTTAATTTTCAATTTTGAAAAGTTTTAAATTAATAGTATTAAAGTATTAAAATTAAATATATTAAAGTAAATATATATGAGCTCCGGAGAAAATGGTATACAAAACATACATAGTCGGTTAATACATATTTAATTGGTTAAATTCTTAAGGTCATTAAATCATCCCTAGTTTATGTTTTGATCAAAGTTGTGAGTAAAGGTTTGGGTGGGCCGCGGCATTCTTGAGTTTGGGAACCACTGGCCTATATTGATAGAATAATAATGCAAGACTTATATAAACCAAATTTGAGTGGGTTTTGTGTCATTTGTCAGACAAAACAAGAAATAATTATTTTTCCCTTTCTTCCTGACCCTTCATTAAAGATACATCTGTTAATCAAGATAGTAATCACCAGTGATGTTAGTTATTGCTCTAACGGTAGTTGCTATGCCGGACAATAGAGCTACTTTGAGAGGACCTAACTGATGCTGTCACATTTTATGGACAGGTGTGCAATGACATAATGAGGTATTCATGTCTGGTAGAACTTGTATTTTCTGTTCTCCATATCAAAAGAAAGAACTGTAGTTTGCTTCCCAGCTCTGAATCGTCATGTGTTTAATCCTGTGTGTGCGTGCCTGCCTGCATGCGGTGTGTGTGTGTGTCATCAATCTGTCAGCTTCACCTTTGTTAGCCCGATTGTGACACACAGGATTTTTAATTACGCAACAATCATCCGTGCGTGAGTTCATGGTTTCCAGAGGCCAAAGTAAGTCACAGGGAACTTATTTTATCTCACTTGCTTGAGGGTACATGTCTCACCTAGAATGATGAGCAGATGATGTGCTCATCTTGGAGTTTTGCTCACTTTTGATGTATTTTTGGGGTTTAACCGTCATAGCACTTGGATGTACTTTTTCTATTTTTTCGTACTTAACATTGCTGCTGCAGGTAACACAGGTGTCTTACCCTGTCCTTTGCCTTGTGTATAACCTCGTTTGAACCATGTGCCCTGTGGCATGTGGCTCTTTAGCTCGCTAGGATATCTATAAGTAGCTGCTCCAGCTTACCTGTTCGCTATTAATACCCACAGATTAACCACCGTCCATTCACCGGCACCTGTGACGCAGCTACCTGACACGTTTGTAGAAAAAAGCTCCTCAAAAGCTTTTTTTTTTCAGCGGGTAGATTTTAGCATCAGTGCTGGGAGCCAAAGCTTTGCTGCTGCATGAAGAGTTGGGGATGTTCGCTCTCCATCTGACCTGCTAACCTGTGACCCCTGCTGCTCTCTGGAACTACAGAAAAACAGTTTGACATTTCTTGGCAGGCTCAGGGGCTCATTTTAAAGCCGTTGCTTTGCAAACTTTACATCAAATCGAATTGCAAACGTCTGCTTTCAGCCGATCAGCGGGGCTCTTAGCTGCTTTAGGGTGGCATGAGCCTCGCAACACCTCGCATGATCCAGCTGTCAGCTGTCCTGAGTTACATGAGTCGCACAGTGCAGGTACATGTGAAGCCCTGGAGTTCTGACTGCAGAGACTTCTTTTGATATGTTGTATGAGTTGAAATACGGCACATCATTTTGCTTTCATTTATTTACAAAGCTTAAAATGTACATTTTCTGATCGGAAGGTTCCCTGTCCCTGAGAGCAATGTGACTCCAGGGATGTTATTTCAATCTGAGGCGTCTGCCCTTCTATCCAAATGGGCTTCCTCCCGATGAACCCCATACCTTTCTGAGCACCGGCCGTGTACAATTAGAGCTTGTCTCCCCCTGGTGGTCTACTTATTTCCTACAGTACATTTGGAAGCAACTGAATACAGAGATTGCATGAGGAATTTAGGAGATTTCTTTTTTCAAAACCGAGATCTACTAATCCCAGAATGAGTCACCACAGGCGATTGTTGTTTAGAAAGAACAAAGTCACACAGCCAGTTTACCCAGATGAGCAGTCAGACAGAGAGAACTTCCTTTCAATTGAGCTCACTTCAAACCGCGATGCATGCTACTGTAGTCACTTGAAAGATTCCCTTCATAAATTAAAATTGGCCCGGAGGTTTTCACAGAAGCTTTGAGGATAGATTCCCACCCTCTGAAAAGAATTCCACATCCTGCTTTAAAAACCCTTTTAAAAAGCAGAATGTTTGATCCATGCGGTGAAGCTGGAGCAGCTGCCTTCGCCGTGAACCCCACTGGTGAAAGTTGACGGGTTTGTGCTTGTGCCGGTTATCCCCCCGAGACTTGTCTCACAGAGCAGCACAATGCACTCCGTCAAAATAGTCCTGCTTATTGGGCACACTGGCAAAACTGGTTACCAGTGTGCCTTTTGTTTTTTGCTGCCTGCCAGTATTTTCCTTTTCATATTTTTGGGGAAAATACTTAAGGTGGTGACAAGTGAGGTCAAGGGTTCAAATCCAGGCCACAATGACAGAGAAACTGAAATAGAAAGGGAAAGTCCCAACAATAAAAATGTGATTTAACTTCCTTTTGCATGTACCTCAACTATTAAAACCTTAACAGCAGCCTTATAGACTTTCATTTCTCTTTTATTATTTTTTGTTTGCATTTTAGGTTTGATTTTCTTTCCACTTTAGTGATGTGTTTCTGCTCCACACTGTTGTTCATTTCTCGGAAGTCCTGAAACGTCTCGACTACACTACACAAGCATGTCTTGCACTCCTCATTACCCGTTTCTCTTTGATTCCAGTCAGTGACGTGCTGCTTTTCTGTCCGTCTCCTCCAGATGATGACGTTGATTTAGAGGCCCTGGTGAATGATATGAACTCATCGCTGGAGAGCCTGTACTCCACCTGCAGTGGCCAGCAGACAGAGTCCACCCCACTACTGCACAATGGACAGAGCTCTTCCTCGCACCAACTCCACCACCACCCTCATCACACGCAGCTCAACCAGCCCCGGCAGGGTCTGCACTCACACGCGCAAAGCCACATCTGCCCGGAGCCGCCCTCGTCCTCCTCGCCTGCAGACTTGTCCCACCGGAGCCTCCGGCGGTCACAACCCATGCACATTCTCGCTGTCAGGTTGGTGACCCCAAAGCATCCACAGAATATCCATGTTGATGTATTGCTGGTGAATTTTTCCACAGTACAGTGATTTACTTTCATCTATAAACATTTGTGGCTTTGACCGAGCAGACAACATTAGTAATTAATAACAGTTTATTGAGGTTTTAAAGTGACACTGTGACAGTATGCAGTGTCTCATTCATCAGGTGTTTTATTGTGACTTCAAACCAAATGTAGGCTCCATCAAAAAAGATAACCGTGCACATATACCAGCGGTCAAAATGTTTGGGGATACTTCAAAAGAGTGCATACATGCACACATACGCCACTAAACTTCAAGCTCCTTCAACACACTCACACACACACACACACACACACACACACACATGCAGAGCTCTTTTCCCCCCTCTACATCGGAAAAGAAGACTCTAACTCCACACTAGTATTCCTCTCTGGATAATTAGGCATAACGTTTCCTCCCCGTGCCACATCCGTAGCCTTTGAATGACCCGTTTCTCCTTGTCACTCCCTCTTTGTCTCAAACTACATTGTCGGGGAGAGAAAAGTAAAAATTCTCATTTATTTCAGTACCAAGTGAAAATGTCTCAGTCAGTTTGAAGAACGGTAACCCCACGTTCTCCCTCGGGCTGTTATTGTATTCATGCAAAGGGGGGTATGCTCACACCAAGGCAACAGACGTACGGCTGCATTCGCACAGTGCACACAAACACAAAGGCAATTCACAGCAGAGCTGGTGTCAGCTCCTATTACTCGCCTTTGGAGTATGTGACAGAAACAGAAAAGGGGACAATCAGGTAATGGAGTATGGTGTGTCTCTCTCTCTCTCTGTCTCTCTCTTTTAAACACGCACACTCTGTGGCTCTTATTATTCAGGGCTAACCTCTGGATAACCCTGCTCTCAAGCTCAGATGAGACAACATCAAAAGGCCCGTTCCCTTTTGAACTCACTGGGTTCTGCAGAGAGACAGTTTGAAAAAGAAAGAGCGAGAGAGACCGAGAGAAAGAGTCTTCTGCAGTGATCCTCCGTGCTGGCCAGTTATCTAGCTAGAATTTCAAACAGTGGCATGCCTATTAAATCCTGAAAAGTTTATGTCAAATCATCATTTCTATCTCACACTACTGTGTGTGCCTAATTTAAAAATGACTTTAAAGCGATGTCTTGATTTAATATTGATGTGTAATAAATATTGCAGAAAATTAGCCGGCCCCCTGCAGGGGTCTGTGATTTCCATTTGCTGGGAGACTTTTTATTATGGGTAGATCAGATGGAAACAGACATGAGCCTGGATACTGCACATCAAGGCCTCATTCATTCCAACTCTCTGTCCTACTGAACATAGTTTACACGTGTCAGCAGCTCCCTCTCAAAGTTTTTCAATCTCCCTTCTTCTCCCGGGTCCGTTCCAGGTCACAGCTTAAGACTTGACTTGGTATTTTTATTTGTGACGACCACAAGCTAATACGCGTCCGTCCGTCTGTCCAGGAGGTTGCAGGAGGCGGAGCAGCAGCTGCGGACATCATCCCTCCCGGCAATACCCAACCCCTTCCCCGAGCTCTGCAGCCTGGCAAACTCCCCAGTGCTCAGCCCTGGCTCCCTACCTCCTGGAGAACCCTCCACCGGCATTTACGTGAGTCCACCTCCGCAGAGACACACCTCACACATTCTTTTACCATTTACCATTGTCTTCATGCGACACGCGGGACCATGTCGGGACATTAGCTGATTTGGATTAAAAGTCATTGATCATTGATCATCAGTTGATAACTGACACTGAGATCGTAAAATCAGCTGTCTTTAGTCAGTGTGTTTACATGATGGTATAATTGGAATCTTTGCTTAGTCGGACTATGCTGTCTTTCGGAGGGAGGTGCTATTATCCCAATATACATGGCAGTGAATAAATTGAATCATTGGCCGAAAGCATGTCAAATCCAGTACAATAGGTGGCGCTATTTTCATTACAACTAGTTGTGATACAGCCATTGACCTCTTCACCACTACCACCAACAACAACAACAACATCAACGTTACGAGAAAGATGGCGAACGGAGAGCAAGGTGAAGCTACATCCCTCTACTATGTTTGCATGACGTTAATAGTAGTACAGCGAATGCGAATGGCGCTACCGGCTGATTTGATAACGGAGAGAAGACGCCGTCGGGATCTCAAGTAGTCCAGTTCCTTCCGATTCACCCTTACATGCCGCAATAGTCGAACTATCAACCGCATCGGATCGAGTTATCCAGGGGTGTTAGTCGGATCGTAGTCGGACCGCACATAGTCGACAAAGGTGTTTACATGAAACGGATAATTCGATTTCAGTCCGACTAAGCCAGTTATTCGAATCCATGTAACCACGCTGAATGGTCAAGTGTGTTGAACATAAGCACTTAGGAATTTTCCCCGCCCCACATCGGCCCCATGTTCTGCTGATCTGTGGCATGATGATTGCTTGCACGTGACAGCTCTGTGCAGATGATGTGTGCGCTCAAGAGGTTTAGCGGTTTTGTTTGAGGAAAAAAAGAATGGGGTGAAGAGTGGAGGAGCACAAACTGTGTGTGTGTGTGTGTGTTTGCGTGTGTACATGGCTGCTTTGCTCTCATTCCATTTGCATTGTGTGTTCATTTGTTGACAGCCCTTGCGAGGCTGGTGGGTCTATTCCTGGAAGCGTGAGTCCCCACATCGTCATCAGTAATGATCTTCACATGGCCGTTGCTGGTTACAGAAACACACCAGCTTACAGTAATATGGGGGCGGACTACTTCTCATAAATACTCTCCCCTGCTAAGATCCGGGTCTGTTCTGGTACGAAATACTTGACTGCAGTCTCGTTTCGTGCCAGAATTGAAGTTGGTTTAATAAGACGTGCTCTGCTTCCTTAAGCGTCGGCTCATAAATCATTTGATGAATTGATAAACCCGCTAAATGCCTCGACAGTTTTGAAGTTGCAGCTTTGTCACAGAAGTAGGTCTCTAAATGGTTAATGCTGCAATAAGTCTTGGAATATTAGGTTTCATTCTGGGCTTCACGTGGGGAAGTTGTTATTGTGTTTGTAGGCATGTTGAACTACTAGCTGCAGCATTAAGTCAACACTAAACGGTAAATCGAGTTCATAGGTTGAAGAAGTCAAAGTTGAATGGCTTACTAAGTGGTTTGCGTTGAATTATTATCTGACATTTCTTTGGCTTAATATAAGTATAAGTGGGCTGGAAATATTCAGAAACCATTAGACTGGTAGACCTGCTCGGGACGGGAATGTTGTTGTTTTTTTTAGTTCCCATGCGGCCTGTTAAGAGCGCAGTGTAAACCACGAGGTGGACCGGGGGGATTGAAGGCTGTGTAGGGGAGTCGGCGATTAGTGGCAGAGCTAAATTATTTCTTTCATCAACAATAAAGTTTTCAGACTTCACTACTAGATCTCCTTTTGACATCGTCCACGGTTGCGGCCCCACATCACAGCAATCCTGTTTCCCATTTCCAGACCGGGAAGTGAAGGAATGAAAGGATTTTCGTTCCAAAATAAAACATGTCTGCACGCTTAAACCTCACAAGCTATTCTCATGTAACTTTCCTTTTAAATCGGGGTGTTCCCCCTTTCCTTTTGCTCACACAGAGGCCACATCAAAGTAAGTGTTCAATTAAACCCGTAATCCATGTTTGTGTCGTATCTTACATGCACTTTTTTACATTGCAGTACATGTCCTCAGAATATGCAAAATATACAAAAATCAAGTTTTTACTGGTTTTGTTTCGAGAGAACCAACCACAACTTTCATGATGAAGAGACAACGTTGAGAGCGGTGGAAAATTGAATGCTTGTGTGTTTACCGTGCTCCACACTGTGATCACGCTTGTGTGAACTCCTGCGAGTGTCCTGTGCATCTTTATATTTTTGATTTGTTTGTCTTCTGTAAAATATTTACAGCATTGGCAGTGTCTATTAATGGTGGCAATGGAAAGTATGTCTCTCTTTGGTTTGGAAGCTCATTTCAGCACCTTTCTGTTGGAAAAAAAAGAAAAAACTCCCACAGAGCCGTCTAATCACGGACGAGTTGTCTCGGTCTCCAGCTCCCAAGGCGTGTGGTCACAATGGTCACCACTCTTTGCACTCAGAAAGCGGTAGACTGTAAAGTGTTTGACAAGTGCTACGCTGGGCAGGTAGATCACCTCCCACTCGCAGCCAGCTGCACAAACCATAATCATCTCAACTATAACTGTCTTTATCTCCAGGTCGTCAGTCTCTGCCCCCCCCGCCTCCCTCCCCCTCCACACCTGAAGTCCAGTCCGCCAGCCTGCTGGTGTGACATTTTTCCAACCTCGGGGAACTTTCTGACAGACCGTCGCACTTTTGTCCCCGTGTCCCTCCTCACCTCAGTCCTTGGCCGCTGAGCAGGAGGCATGAGGACGCAGAGCGCGGCTGTCAGGAATCCCCGCGCAAGCCGTTTGATGTGCAGGACTCCCAATTAGCTCACTTTCTGCCATGGCCCTCTCATCTCCCTCCTTTCCTTCTCCATGTTCCCACTCTTGGCTTCTCATCGTTGCTATTCAAAGAGACGCGGTATGTTCACTGATTTGAAGCGAATAGAAATTAAGTAATTGAGTTCTTCTGACTGCTGTCGGTGCTGCAGGAGGTTTACTGCTCGTGTGTGTGTGTGACAAAGCTGTTGCTCTGCAGCATTAATGAAACACACAATGCCAAATACGAACAGAAAAAACACATTTGTTAATTGCGGGAGCTGCAGGATGAACATCAAACAAGGAAGCTGCCATCTAAGAGCAGTGTGCATGTTGAAAGTCTGCACAGATAACTACATATCCTTAGAAAATCGGCCGTGCCTGCTAAGGATTACTAAATCTGGGCTTGGTTGAATGTTAAAACTCCATACATTTCATTTGTAAGCGACTGGGGAAAGAGCAGGTGAAATAACCATGCCACACTTATGTGGAGCAAAAGCAGTGTGAGCGTACTTTGGGCAATCCATGTCGTGCAACGGAAACCCCTTTTGGAGCATTAAATGTGAGGCAGTTAGCTTGTATATAACCGTTCATTTTCTCAGTCATGGTACTGCAATAAAGACGGCTGCTATGTGCTCACTGTGTTCCCATCGCTGCCACAGCAGTTTCTAGTGTGGGAACACGGATTTGCTCACAGGGTTGCCAGGTTTTGCTGGATTTACTGTACTTGGACTGGATGTCTTGTAGCTCACTGCTCTCTATGGTGTGGCAGGATCCCCACACCCTGTGTCTGCCTCTCTAGTATGTGTTTCATTATCTTTCTATTGGACCGTCTGCTCCTGTGTGTCTTCCTGTGTTTAACTCTGTCTTCCTGTCATCCCTTTGACCTTTAAACTTTGAGTTCAGCCAACATTCCTGTTGATTTTAGGAACAAACTATTACGGTGCTTCTGCTTCTTCCGTATGACGCAGGTTTAAGCAAATTTGCTCGGATCTGTCCAGCATTATTACACTATACACGTGTTATTGTTCCTTTAGCAGAAGTTACCTAAGTATAGTAAGCAAACTGTAACACTGTATATTGGTTTCTTTATCAGTTAATTGTGATACTTAATACCGAATATAATATAAATGTGTTGAACCACTTTGCTTTCTGTATTTTTTTCGTTCCTCTGCACGTGAGATTACTTGTCTTTTTCTGTGTACTTCTTATCTCTGTTTTATTCTTGAAATCTGCTGAGCCACAGCCTCCCTGAAGGAATCATTAACATTGTGTCTAATTACGGAGATACTGATCACCTTTCCCCCCTCATCTCACTTCTCTCTCTCTGCATGACTCTGCCTCCAGCAGAGTTTGCCAGACTTTAGAGCTGTGACCCCTACTCATCAAGAAAAAAGAAAGCAGTATCAGTGTACTGGACACCGCAAAAGTAGATTTTGGAATGATGAGTTCATGATGTTTGTAGCCTCCATCTAAAGAAACGCGACAATAAGAGTAAAAATGTAGTAAATTGAGTAGTAACACAAGCAATTAAGCAGCCTTGGAAGACAGAAGTAAAAAGCAATGTGTGATGCAGTAGTCAGACAGCATCACTGCATCGTAGAATGTGCCTACTGAAAATATATAATTATCAGGACCACTCATATGTTGTGAATATTAACGTTGTATAATCTCACTCAGATAATCCGCACAAGCTGAAAGAAATCTGTAAAGTCGTATCGACATTTTAATACAATATGTGGGAAAGTGTTTTGTGGGAAAATGTGAGGAATTTTGAAAGTGCAAATGTATATTTTGGCAAACACAAGATGTAAATATAGACATTTTTTCCTCCTGTGTTAACTTGTCCATGACTAGTGATGCCTGTAAAGTATAACGTTTAGACGACAGTAAAACTGTTTTACATAATCAATGTTTGAAGCAGGCAATAGGCCATGAAGAAAGAAACATACAAATGATGGCCATCCCTCCTCTCGCTCCGTTAGCGCTGAAGCACGGCGTTCCTCAGCGGGCGCCTCCTTCCTCATGTTGGAAATACTCTGGGTCAAAGGGCAGATCTTTCCACTGTAAAAGGAAAAGCAGAATGGAATGTTGTCAATGCCCAAACCGTTTCAACAGCTTCAATGTGTGCGAACGTCTGTTGTCGCGTGCGCCGTGTGTGTATCTAGAAGT